CCGAAGCCCAATCAACGCTTAATCGCGATCAGCTTAAACGAATTTCACAATGTGGTTGTCAAATCTAATGTCAAATATTATGATTGCGTTCAGAAATTTAACTTAAGATTTATAATTTAACGTTTGTGACAAAACTTAAGATTTATCTTTCGATTTCTATATAGTCTTATTAAAAAAATAATCGGACAGATTAACAACTGAAGTTAGCTAAAATTAATTTTCTCGAAGCTATATGAAGCTGTGAGACTATGCAATTTTGTCGCGTTCGCGATTCACTTTCACTTTTGTTGAGTTTCGGAACGCGATATTAGATCCTCCAACGCGCATGCGAATTTGAACTTTATACAGCGGTAATAAATTACAAATTGACTCTCCATTTTATTTAGAAAACGTTTGTATGGGAAATAGAAAAATACTGTTTTGAGGATTTTCCCGGCAAATATTCGAATTTTTCTCACCTTTTAAGGGGAGGGTAAGGTATTAAATTTTTTTTTTTTCATTTTTATTTTATTTTTTAAATTGAATGCATAATATCTGAAGAATATTGTGTCAAAATTTCAATTCAATTAAAGCAAAATTGACGAAGTTATTAGTTATAGACGAAGTTGCTTGCAAACGTTTTACACTGGATTTTTTCGAGTTTAAAACTTTAAAGCGTTTTTCCCACAACTCACGTTTTCAAAGTCGGTGCCCCTCATAACTTCAAAACTACTGCACCGATCCTTTTGAAATTTTAAACACCATTTCTGTACATATTTTACAAGGTAACGCTGTCGAGTTTTTTTTTTTTTTGTTCATAATTTTGATTTCGCAATGACAAATTAACCGATTTTTTCCCAAAAAAATTGAGTTTTTCACTTCAAAGTCTTCAAAAAAATTCAAAAAATTCAAAAAATTCAACTTTTTTTGGCGACACGTCCGGACAATTGCTACCATTGCCATATTTTGAAATATTTTTTTGTAAAAATTTGATAAAACATTCTTCTAATGTCATACTTTAATATACCGTTGGTTGAATAAATAAATTTTAACTGTGTCGTCAGGAAAAAAATCACAAAAAAATGGCTTTTTTCGCATGATTTGACCTTACCCTCCCCTTAAACCTTCCCTAGACCTCCACGAATAATTCAAGACCAAGATAAAATAAATCCGTTCAGCCATTCTCGAGTTTTAGCGAGACTAACGAGTTTTAGCGAGATTTTTATATATATAGACTAAAGTTATAAGATATTACATAGGTTGTGATTGCTTCATCTGAAATAAAAGAAAAAATACTAAATGAAGACTACCAACTGGTAGAAAAAAGAGGGCGTAGTAATGTGTGGGAGTTTTTCGCCAAAATCAAGGACGAAAATGGAGAGGAAATTGACGGGTTTGTGGCATGCAAAATGTGCTACACCGTAATGAAATTTTCCGGCAGCACATCAAATATAGTGAAGCACAAATGCTACACAATCAATTCACACAAAGCCCAAAACGCAGCACTCATGGAAGTGAATCCTGAAGTGAAACAGGAGGGTGTTGAAATTTTGACGGAATGGGCAATAAAAAACTGCCGATCCTTCAAAATCGTGGAGGATAGCGGTTTAAAAAAATTTGTGTCGTACATTTTAAAGGTTGGAGCAACGTTTGGGCCGAACGTTGATGTAGAAAAGCTACTTCCACATCCAACGACCATTTCGAGAAAAATTTCATCCATGTATGAGACACATTTCGGCCCAATTAAACAAGAAATAGTCACAAATAAATGTAATGGTTATGCCATAACGAGTGACATATGGACGGACAATTTTTTAAAAGCCGCATATATTTCATGCACAGTCCATTACATAAAGGATGGAGTTTTGATTGAGCGTTTGATGGCCATAAAGTCGATGAAGGATAATTCGTGCACAGGTTTGCTATTCAAGTAACTCTTAAATCCAAGATTCTTATTTTCCCCTTATTTCATAGGTGCAAATATTTTGTTAAAAATAGATGAAATTTTAAGCGAGTTCGATTGCAATTTGGGAAATGATAAGCCAGTAATCGTTACTGATCGCGGGTCAAACATGATTGCTGCCTTCCGGGACCATAATAAAATCCACTGTATTAATCATATGCTAAATAATACAGTGGAAAAAGCCATTAAAGAAGTTCCTGAGATGGGCGAAATGGTGACAACCTGCAGCAAACTTGTTAAATTTTTTAAAAAATCTGGGAACAATTCGCTGTTAGGCTTCACTCTAAAAAGCTTCTGTCCAACTAGATGGAACACTGTGTTCTATTTGATTAAATCAATAGAAGCCAATTGGTTGGACATAAGCAATATTTTAATTAAGAAAAATCAAATTGGAAGACTAGAAGGCCTTCACATAGGTGAACTTTCATCTGTAGCAAAAATATTAAAGGTGTTTAAAAACGTATCAAAAAAACTTGAGGCTAGCAAATACCCTACTATACATTTGGTAATACCCAATATCACCAAACTAAAAAAAACATGTTTGAGCGGCACAAACGACTCAAAAATAGGAGAGTCCCTAAAGATTGCCCTCTTCACAAATACTTTGGCTGTGATAGAGCCGAATATTGAAATGTGGCACAAGATCGCTCTATTTTTGTTTCCGCCAACAAACAAATTAAAAAACTTCGAAGAAAGTGAAAAATTAACAAGAAAGGAAAGCTAACTTCGGGCGGAGCCGAAGTTTATATACCCTTGCAGTTTAAACCGGATATATGTCGCAAACATCGGATATAGTTGGCCGATCCTTTGGGAATATGAATATATAATCTAATTTATTACAATACAAAATCTAAAAAAAGTCTCAAGCTTCTATCTTCAAAAGTACCAAAGTTGGTATTTCTACCAAAAACCATTTCCGATCGTTCAGTTATATGGCAGCTATAAGATATAGTCGGCCGATCGTTATAAAATTTGGTAGGTCGGATTAACTGACCAAGAATATAATCTGTACCAAGTTCCAGCTTTCTATCTTCAAAAACACGAAAGTTGGGTCATTTCCGATCGTTCAGTTATATGACAGCTATAGGATATAGTCGGCCGATCCTTACGAAATTTGGCATGTCGTATTATTTTGCCAAAAATAATTGCGCTCGTGTAAAATTTTAACTCTCTAACTCTAAAAACACCGAAGTTATACCATTTCCGATCAATCAGTTATATGGCAGCTATAGGATATAGTCGGCCGATCCGGGCCGTTCCGACTTATATACTGCGTGCAAAGGAAAGAAGGGTGTGTGCAAAGTTTCAAGTCGCTAGCTTTAAAACTGAGAGACTAGTTCGCGTAGAAACAGACAGACAGACGGACAGACGGACATGCTCATATCAACTCAGGAGGTGATCCTGATCAAAAATATATATACTTTATAGGGTCGGAGATGTCTCCTTCACTGCGTTGCACACTTTTGACCAAAATTATAATACCCTCTGCAAGGGTATAAAAATAATTACTGAGTGTAAACTGATTATGGAAAGTTTTAAAGATTACACCAACATCGCAGAAGCCGAGTGGAAAGAGGAAGACGACGAATTTTCAGAATTCGTTGAAGAAGCTTCAATAAGCCAAGGTGTCGACGATGTTGAAAGGGAGATTACAGGATATAGCAATATTAATGTCCCTTATGCAACCAATTTTGATTGCCTAGGTTGGTGGAATATGCATAAAAATTTCTTTCCACTATTGCATAAAACCGAGCTCCAAAATATTTTGCATACCAGCAAGTAGCGCATCCTCCGAAAGAATATTTTCGGATGCAAGAAATTTAATAACCGAAAAACGTTGCATATTAGCAAATAATTCAGACAATGTAAATAAAATAATGTTTTTACATTCCAATTTAAATTAGTTAGGGTATAGTAATTAAGAAATTATAGAATTATAGAAATTAAATTTAATAATACATATATGTAAATTAAGCGAAATAATAATGAATTTAACCAAAACAATTTACAAGGACTTGCCTCCACTTTTCAATTATTTTTTTTCAGCGTTTAAAAATACAGGCAAATATGCATAGTTGTATCGGACATTCTAGAATGCATTCGAAACAATTCGAATGCGAACTGCAACTCTAACTCATTCAATTCGGTTTTCATCCCCCAAATGTTGTGCAAGTGAGACCTACACAGTCGCACTCACTCATTCATTTTTTTTCGTCTCAGCATTCTATCTCACTGAATTCAATTTCAAGGTTGTGCATTTGAATGTCGTTTTTTAGCTATTCATGCAGACCTCTAGTTTACATACGTATGTACGTTTAAATGAGATTAATTATTGCTATTTCTTGTATATATTTTTGAAAACAGTTTTACCTCGTCGCTAATGTAGTAACCCGTAAGTTCCCCCTCAATAAGGACAGGTTATTTCCAATTTAGATTATAGGACAATTGATTTATTTAAGTAATAATCGTGTCGCGTCTGCTCCGCACACTCGGTCATTTACAACTAACTCTCCCCCTGCTCTGTCACTCCGCTTGCGCTCTCCTTGCCATTCTCACCGCTCTCCTGCATGACATCGCCGCTCATTGCCGGCTCCCACAATAGCCATATTCTCGATCATAGCTTTGGATCACAGTCACCAGCTAATATAAAGTGGTTACGCAGTATGTTGAAGAAGTCCATAAATTCCTTTTCATTTCTTAAGCAACAAAAGTAGATATATTTAGCGAATTGATTCCTACAAACCCTATTCAAATTTGTTTCAAATGTTTTCCATGTTCTCCCTCCTCAACAAATCGCTTATTTCTGTAGCGCAAGAACAGGAATGTATTTTGAAAAACTTTTGGTGTCAAACTATTTTTACAGTTAATTTATATCTGAAAAACCAGATATATTCTTTGTCGATCCCCATACTAAAATGTTTAAATACGTGGATATTAAAGACTATCAGAGATAGAATTACCCGAATTACTCGGATCCGGCCGAAGACAGCTTTTCTTTCTTGATTTTTATTATTAAACATAATTGAAATATTTTACTTTATTTGATTTTATTTCTTACCTGATACACCATGTGCAGAACTTTTTTCCTTATGAACCAGTTTCATGTGGTCCACAAGGGCCTCAGTACCAAGGAAGAGCTTGTGACACACAGGACAAGATGTGGCGTTCGGACCACCAATAAGAGCTGCGTGCTGCTGCAAGACACCAAGATGCAACTGTAGCTCCTGTCAAAAAATTTCGGTGCTTAATGAATGAAGTTCAATTGATGGGATTAGGAGTGATTTTGAACAATGAGTAACCACTTTAAAGTTATACAAAAATTAAATAAACTGTATAATTACTTTAGATGTATGTGTGCGTAGACTAGATTCGGTGGCAAAACCTTTTCCGCAAATGTTGCAGTGAAAAGGTCGATTTTTAGCCCGTTCGACCTGAGCATCGTGGTTTCGTAGGTGCTGTTGCAAATTTGAGAGCTGTATAAAGGCTCGACCGCAGTCTGGCAAGTGGCACTTATAAGGGCGTTCTCCTTAAAATTAATAATTTTATTTCAATAATAAGTATTTCATAAATAATATTTTAGTATTTTATTAAATACAAAAATTTAAGGTAAGGTATATTCATTATACTTAAGTATATATTTTTTGTTGCCTTTTTTGTACCAATACTATACCCGGTACACCTAAAGTACAGTTGAGTCGATATAGCCATGTCCGTCTGACCCTATGAACGTGTGGATCTCAGAGATTATAAGAAAAATAATAATAAGTATTTGGCATAATGTCCACGCAGCTCAAGTTTGATTTAAATTTTGGTCACAGCTCCTTTCGCCCCCATAAATCGAAAATTTCTATAGCGCCAGTACAGGAAGGTTTTTTGAAAAGCTTTTGATGCCAAACTATTTCTATAGTTAATATATATCTGAAATACAAATTTCATCTAAATCGGATCCGATTTTTATAAAATATAAAATACCATCGGGCTAAAATTTTGAACACGTGGATCTTGAAGACTATAATAGATAGAAATAGAGATCATATTTAGAACTTGGGATTTTTTGATTTTCGCGCAGATCAAGTTAGTATCAAACTTTCGCCACAAATTGCGAATTTTTCTAGCGCAAGTACAAGAAATTTAATCAAAATCTGTACATTTTTAGAGGAATTATTCCCATATAAGTGTACCTAACCGATTTGGAACTGAAACTCGTATGGTATCCGCGCAGATAAAGTTTGTGTCAAAATGTTGCCCCCAAAACAGAAATCTCATAGTAGCGCCAGTTCGTTCATGTTTTTGGAGAATGTTTTGGTGCTAATGGCTAATCTAGACACACAAATAAAAAATGTGCCAAGCCGGATAATATATTATATTATATATAATATAATATATCTGCTTCCCTACTGAATCGGTAGTATGGCCCAAGATCAAAAGTATGCAACAAAAAATTTCATGCGAAGAATCTAAAACTCTAATTAACTCAACCTCGATTGCAATGAACCTAAACGACGTTCGCACACAACTTCAACGTAGGAAAAACGAAAGACGGCTCTCAGTACAAAGAAACAACGCATACTTCTCTTTTAAAGCAACCGAAAATAATGCAAGCTCTGATCAAGCGCGGTCAATTATTTCCAACTTGACCGAAATCTTAAACATAGAGAGCAAGAGAGCGCGTTCTTGCTCCCCTCGCTACCATCAATTCCTCTGCAGCCAAAAAGCACAGTAACTAGCAACGCAATTTCTTTAACAACTTCAACCGTAACAACAATAACGACATATAGCGCGTTTAACGACATCATCACTTAGATGCGCAAATATCAACACGTCGGACGCTGGGCTGCCCCAAAAACAGAATAAAAACAATGCAGATGGGTGTGGATCGCTACATCCAAATCAAAAGGAAGCTGAGCCTCCTAAATTCTCAAATCAAAATAGCCCGTGGCAATGCTAGCCTAGCTGCAATAGAAACGGCCATGAGCTCAAACCGATTTAAAATGTTGGCAGACGCCTATGAGGCTGAGACGGCTGAATTTACTGAAGTCGGAAGAAAAGGAAGCCAAAGTCTTCACCTATTTATAAAGGAGAAAAAAGTTCCATTGTTCTTCTCAACAAAATAGTTGATCTTTTTGGCAAGGATAACTTCCGCATAGATAAAGTCATAAGATTACGATAGTTGTATCGAAATCTTACCGAGAATAAAAATAACTTTTACACGTATTTACACGTATGAACCGAACAAACGCAGTGGCCCGGTACAATACGCGAACTGCCAAGAATATGGCCATACACGGTCATAAAGTAAACAGCGCCCGGTGTGGGTAGTTTATGGAGAGCTTCATGACTCTGCACACTGCGGAGTTAGCCAAAATGGCTGCAAATCGAACAAGTTTGGCTACTGCGGTGGAAATTAACTATAGAGACTGCCCAATCTACAGGGAGCTGAAAAGTCACATCCATCAGAGAGGAATTACTGCCCGCACCCAAAATAAACAGTTGATAGCCTCGGGATCAAACCCTGAAGTCTTCTTTTCGGCAGCAGCCAGATCCTCACTACGATCCATAAGCACTGACAAAAATGTGACATACGCAAGCGCTTTAAAATCAGAACTTCTGCCCTACTGCTGCTTTATTCTACGGAACAAATTATCCAGACGATGGGACTGGAATCCTACTGAAATCAGAAGCCGTATTAAGCACCAGTATCATAACGAATTTGCTAAAAACAGAGCCAGCACGTGTGCCAACCACATTAAAAAAGTCTTCAAACCAAATCACGCCACTAGTGCGTTTACTTTGCCCACTTTACCATATGAGCCTCAGCTTCAATATGAGCCAATTGAGTTTTGCCCAAAAAAAATCGTTAGCTTCGTTAACATCATCAAAAATCAACTAAATCCAAAAAAATCCGATAAATATTGTGCCGTTTGCACTATTTCCCAGCTTTTCAATGCCATTTGGGCACTTTTAACTGAGATGGAAAAAGTCAATTTTAATAATGATAGCAAAGCCGGGATAAGTCCACACAATCAAGTCGTATAGACCTCTAAAACTATTTTCATGCTTATTTAAACTCTTTGTGAAAAATGTGTATTGACTCGGATAAACACATATCTAAGAATCCAGGAAGGAATCTTCCCACATCAATTTGGGTTTCGTGAAAAGCACAGATATATTGAGCAGGTTAACCGGATAACATAAGAAATTAGGAACGCGTACGAAAAACGAGAGTACAGTACTGCAATATTTTTAGATGTCTATCAAGCATTCGATAGAGTCTGGCTGGATGGTCTAATATACAATATCAAGACAATGATATCCCTAAACCACCCACAAGCTCTTAGAGTCTTACCTTTACGATAAAAAATGTTCTATGAGGAAAAAAAAAACCACAGTAAAACTGCCCAATAAACATTAAATAACACTCTACTCCCGCAAGCAAACGAAGTGACATACATATCTAGAAGTACACCTCGACAGAAGACTCACATGGGGCCGGCACATTGCAGCCAAAAGAACACACCTAAAGCAAATAGCCAGCAGCCGTCATTGGCTTATCAACGCTCAGTCTTTCCTTAGCCTTAGATATTAAGTCTTGCTGCATAGCTCGGTACTAAAACCTATGTGGATGTATGGCTCACAGTTATGGGAAAATGCCAGCAATAGCAATATTGATATAGTCCATAATAAAGTCGAGCATAATAAAGCGGGCACCGTGGTACGTTCGCAACGAATACATACATCGCGATACATACATAATCATCCTACCAGTCAAAGATGTGACCGCAGAAGAGAAGGAAAAGTAATTTGCCAAGCTTTTGTTGCATCCTAACCACCTGGCGAGATGTGCAACAAGGTTGAGCAACCAATCACGTCATCGAGGCAATGACTTACCCTCCCAGCGACCGACTTGAGGGACGCGACAAAAAATTGTATCCGGAATTTTAATTAGTTGGCGTTTTTGTGTAAAAACCTTGTAGTCTTGTATGCTTGAGGATTTGCAGAGGATGAGCCAGGCTTTATAGAACCAATGATCTGCAAGCTTCAAAACGGACCGCTTATTGTCCGCCTGAAAGATTTGGAAGGACTTGTATCGGAGTTTAGGTCAGGCATAGGGAGCTGGCGGAGCTGAACCTCGAAGATCTGAGAAATTCAGCGATCGAAACAGCGATCGTCACCCCAAAGCTCACAGACCATCATCCCAGCGTTGATGTCACCTGTTGGAACGTTCAAGGTGTTTTGAAGCTTGTAGATCATAGGTTCTATCTTCCTCAAAGAATAGATCAGTTGATCAGCGCGAGCTTATTTTATGAGCTGCTCTGCGAAGAAAAAATCCACTTGGGCCCTGGCACACCGGTGTTACATAGCCCTTCAAGAAGATATTGAAAATCTGATGTGTATTTCCTATCCTATATTTTCTATGCATTTCCTAGTACTATCATTAGTACTATCAAGGATTATAAAGTAAATAAATATGACATCTCATAAAAACAAAAATATTCTTTGGCGGGTTCCAGCGCTGGAACCCGCTAGTACAAGTGTGTTCCACAGCGTGACAAGTTAAGTTTTAGAAAATTTTCGTGCGATAACGAATAAGTGGTAGAGTGCTTAGCTGATGTGCAGAGTGAAACGAGTTCAAATCAACCTCGAGACATACACTTTTTCTACCCTTGCAGAGGGTATTATAATTTTGTCCAAAAGTGTGCAACGCAGTTATATATATTCTTGACCAGGATCACCTCCTGAGTTGATATAAGCATGTCCGTCTGTCCTTCTGACCGTCTGTCTGTTTCTACGCAAACTAGTCTCTCAGTTTTAAAGCTATTGTCTTCTATCTGCCAAATTTCATCAGGATCGGTCGACTATATCCTACAGCTTCCATATAAATGAACGATCGAAAACGACCCAACTTTCGTGTTTTTGAAAATAGAAAGCTGGAACTTAGTACAGTGTCATTTGATCCAACCTACCAAATTTCATAACGATCGGCCGACTATATCCTATAGCTGCCATATAACTGATTGATCGGAAATGGTATAACTTTTGTGTTTTTAAAATTAGAGAGTTCGGATTTTGCATGAGTGCTAATTTTAAAATAATACGACTTATCAAATTTTATACGGATCGACCGTCTATATCTTATAACTGCCATATAACTGAACGATCGGAAGTGACCCAACTTTTTTGATTTTGAAGATAGAAAGCTGGAACTTAGTACAGATTCTATTTTTGCTCAGTTAACCCGACCTATTAAATTTCATAAGGATCGGCAGACTATATACTATAGCTGCCATATAATTGAACGATCGGAAATGGTATTTGGTATCCATAGACCCGTCTCGCGTAGCCTAATTGCCAACAGCGTGGCTATCTTGGCCCCCACTATCTCTACAGGTAAAAGGTCGAGTATGAAGTCTAGGGCGTCTGTCGGTGTGGTACGTAGGCTGCCTGTAATGCAGACCTACGCCATCCTTTGCGTTTTCCTAAATCTCTCTCTACATGTGGACCACCAGACCACCACCCCGTAGAAAA